TCGACGGATGGTCTTCGCCAGCGCAAGACGGCGGCCGCCGAGGCGACGCCCATCGACGACGTCGACTAAGCGACTCTATAGACGTAATATTCCTAGTAATTCTATATGCTGCCATGGGCACGCGACAACTCGATGGACGTCGACACGCGCTCATAGCTCGGCGTTGGACGGAACGCAGCGTAGAGTTTCAACAACCAGAGCGAGCGCGTCTTGATCAAGGGCATGCATCAGCGCCGAGCGCGAGCGACTGCCAATGTACGGTAGCATACGTGCTTGGAATCGCAGGCGTCGGGGATGGGCAAGCGGCAACATGCGCCGGCCAGCCTCGTCTGCCGTAGTGGGTCGCAGGATCTTTACCCTGGCCGTGAGATCCAGCAATGAGGCTTCAACCCCACACGTGTGCGACGAGTGCCCCATCGATGTCACCGCAGCTATCCACGTCAAGTGCAAGGCAAATAAAGTACGCACTCACCCACCCCGCATCAAACCCTCTCCTCGCAAAAGTACGAGTCTTGAGGAGGCGCGCCGCTTGCTGTCCGTGGCGCACGTCCGGTGTCCAAGCTTCGTGTCGCCCTTAGTACACTGCTGCAAACCGATATTGGCTTGATCATTGCGCGGCTGCTGCTTCGATCGAGGGCCGTAAAAACCCGGGCAGTGACAAGGTCCTGTCGAGCTCGAGGTAGCATTTGCGCTGGCACTCATCAATGTGGCGGAGAAGCATCTTCGCGTGCTCTGGAGCAACGATGTCGAGGACACTACATGCGTGTGAAACGCTATAGGTAGCATCGGCCCACGAATACACTGTAGCTGTAGCGTTTGGCGCATGAGGGTCAACACGTGGTCGTCCTCGAGCTTTGGCGCGTGGTGCTCTGTGATGCGGAGAATTCTGCAGTTGCATGTTGCTGTCCACACGGCCTCGTTCGCGTGCACCCAATCAGCTGGCTCGGTGCAGAGACTCACCTCGAACACATGGTATAATACCTGTGCTCGTCCGTCCAGATCGTGAAGTGGAAGAGCTCGTCGAAGCACGCCGCGGCGTCAAACTGGCGCGTGCAGTTGGCAAAAAGCGAGCCGAGACCGGGGTACCTTGTCGTCGGAGCCACCTTGAGGATTCGAGACGAGGTCCGCGCCCGTGCTACACTTGCGCGGGTGGTCGGGTCGAGGTGAGGCGATATCGACCTTGATCATATAATGTCCACTTGTTGTCAATGACCCTCGCCACATCGACCTGGAACTAATCGCGTTGTGTGAGCTTCGTGTGCTTCTGCACTTGCGTCAAAGGCTTGGTCTTGCTCTTGGTCAAAGGATTCAACTGCGTGCCTGTCTTGCGACCAGACGTCGTCTTCGAAAGCGCGAAAGACGTGGGCCAACCGTTGGCGGGTTGTAGTGGTTGGAACGACGTCGCGCAGTTGGCTGCTGGCTCGCTCACCTCATTTTAGGCCGCAGTCGCCACAATTTGCTGGCAAGCCATGCGTTGATCTGCTAGGTAGCGTAGCTGTCCAATGGGACGCGCTGTGATTTGCACAATTCGACCAATCGGTCACCAGCCCTGAAGTCGTCACAGCTTGCGACCGTGGTTGCCAAAGCAACATCACGATCACACACATATTGCCGCGTGTTGTCAGGTCGTTCTTTTCATATTTCTATGAACATATTTAAATCGTTTTCAATGTACCGAATAATAAAATATGTGAATATATCTATCAATACGGATAGCGTGCATAGCGTGTCTTTTTATCCATAATTTTATTTTCGAATGTAGAAATTGGGATCAAAATAAAACATGTTCAAATCCAACATTGCTGTGTGACATCTGGAACCGCCAACGTCGGGCGATCGAAACTGAAACGTTGCTGCTCATCTGCTCGTCTTCGTCAGGAGCTCATTGTCGAATTCGCCACGACTAGACATGGCTCTGACCGCGGAAGAAGTACAACCAAACCGCTGCATGCTCGAACGCTTGAATATTCACGCATGCATGTGTAGAGACTGGTCCGCGACGCAGCTCGCAAGGGACAGAAGGACACGGTGCAGCAGGGCTTGCTTAACGGTGTCGACCCAAATGCCTTTGGAGCCGAATCAGTAAGCTTCTCACTTTGATCAAGCTTGGCTTATCGATGCATACAGAAATGCCGCTCGCTTCTGCACGAAGCGGTGATTTTCAACCGCTTAGCCATTGTTTTTATGTTGCTTGCTGCCGGCGCCGACATCAACATGACCACCCATACAGCCGATGTGAGTGTACCCCGCAGCTAGGGATCTGAACTTACCATGTATCCATGGTTTAGAATAAGCGCACCCCGCTGTACTTTGCTGCACAGTGCAATTGGCTGCCCATCGTCAAGGTGCTTCTCGCGGCGGGAGCCGATGCCTTCGCCGTAACTCAGGTAGAAATCGCAAAATTGCTCGTCCAGGACAAGATGACACCGTTTTCAAAGGACGGCAAGACGGCTTACCACCGAGCTAAGTCTGAAAAGGACGGCCGCCCAGAAGTGGCAGAGCTCCTGGCCCAGCATATGAGCCGGCAGAAGCGTGGCCGTCGCCTTCGGCAATAGCAATATGCAGCGGAAAGTGGTCACTTGGGATAGTCTTGTGCAGACAAATGTCGTCGGTGAAGAGCATGCGAGGTCCAAATTTTGTGAAGAGAGGTAGCGACGTGCGGAAGGCCGGGTCCAGCACGTA